GGAACTCTTTTTAATTAAAGCCTCCATTTTTCTTTTCTTGTCAAGATATGCAAATAGTTTGAGTCATTAAAACTAAGATAAAAGAAATCCGAAGCACTGTTTATATATAGCCATTGTGACTGCATTTTACTTTGCATTACTTTAACTGAAGCAAGTTACAGTGCAGCTTGACATAACTCAGAGCTGCTTTGCAGTGCTGTTGAGGCTAAGAGTGGAAAAACGCTTTACCTAGCTTGGGGAGTCCACCTCAATGCATAGATCCTGCATCTGGATATCACATACTGCACTGTCGGTGGTGGCATGCTTACACCCTTGCTGCCATTCACCTATTCAATATTTAGCTTTGGATTACTTCATTTGCCCAGGTTTGGAGGAAAACAAGGAAGTGATTGCTGCTAGTTCTCCATAGCTGTGATGAGGCTTTCTCCACTACAGCTTAGTACCCAAACTGTGTGTGATTGGTTACTGTACCTTATACAAGGTACTTACAACGTACCTTCTCTTCAGAATCAGGAGAGACTGTGTTTGTCCTTGGAAAATGAGCATAGCTGTTGGCAGGTGTTTGGCTGCAACCAAATCTGTGGCAATTATCTCCTAGACCTCTCATTCTGGGATTTTACCTGAGAAGCTTGGGATAAAGACCCATCTTATTTTAGTAAGCATGAGTGTGAAAAAGGGTTTCCAGTGTGCTTCAATGAGGTAATTTAATAACTGTGGCATTGTACCACAGTTATTAAATCAGCTTTGAATTTTGATCAGCTTTGAATTGGTAACCATAAAATGGCTTGGGTTAGAAGGGACCTTAAATATCATTCATTTCCGAGCCCCTGCCATGGGCAGGGCTGCCACCAATGAGCTCAGACTGCCCTGGACCCCATCCAACCTGGCCTTGAATGCCTCCAGTGATGGAGCATCCACTGCTTCTCTGGGCTATGTTTCACTGTAGATTCTGTTTGACCTCTTGATTCTAGGCTTAGCAGCCAAATAAGATCAAATAAACTGATCCAAATGCTGAGGTGCTTGTTCAGACAAAATTCATTGTTTGTTTTCTAAGATAAAGCGTAAAAACCCTGACTCAGGAATTCTGGAACTGATCATTTAAAAGCTATACGACAGCGTTTTGGAGATAACTAACAGAAAACGAATGCAAAAGAGTTCAGTACGGACAGCACATTTTTTTTTTTTATTTTTTTCTTATATATTATCTACAAGCACAAGCTTTCATATTTTTAATGTAAAAATGCATACAGATCATTATATATATAAAAATCAACTAGCCTTGTAGCAAACTGCCAGATGCAACCATCCCCAGGTTTGGGGACAACGTGTCTGGATCCAGGTGCAAATTCAATGGCTGACCCTCACTTCCATCCTTGGTTGCACCGAACCCCCAGATATGAAGATTCTCAAAGTTCTAGGGAAGTCTTGGTTCCTGATCCAGGTCTCACAGCATGGGCATGACTAACTCTTCATCAATTGAAGATAAATATTTAAAAACTTCATAAATGACAATCAACTTGTTGCAGGTAACAAGTGTCCATTTCACCTTTCCTCCCCCTTTTAGTTTTTCTTCCTTCCTGTCCTCCCTCTGCCGAAATGGAAAGAGCAGAGGAGAGGAACCAATTGTTAGCATTGTCTATGTAAATAGCAGCATTACAAACAGAATTTAAGCTGTTGATATGTGCTGCAAAATGGCTACTGAATGCAAATTCATGTTGCATTTGGTCTTTCCAGTGCTTGCGCACGCCGGGGCTCAATTTGCACACTGTAGAAATACGACACATTTATAGCATAGCCAATATTATATTGCTACATTGTGAGGAACAGTAGATCAAATTGCATTTAATACTATGTCGTATGTATCAATAGATTATAATAGACTCTACTATAATTGGTTTGTCAAGCAGCCTATTACACTGAGGGGGGGAAAAAAAAAAAGGAGCAATTAAGTAAAGAAATTCGTATTTGTGTGGGAGGAAAGGTCATAAAATAGCAGCCTCCTTTCTGACTGAATGTTTATCATGTTCGGCAGTTTCCAAATTCAGTCTTTGCAAAGAAATGTTACTATTTTTATTAGAGGTTCTTTATGTAACAAATAATGTTTGCACAGTGGAATATTTTCTTTCATGGAGATTTTATAACTTCCCCATAACACTACATATATATAATTCACTGGGATTCTTTTGGAAAGTATTATGGCCATACCTTAGGCTTTCCTTCCTTTCAACTCTCTTAATACAAATATGATTTCTTTATTTTTTTTTTGTAATTCATGTATTAATGTTTTTGTATTTTAAATGTTTCTCTACTCTGAAATCTAAGACAGGATTTCAGAGAAAAGAGCTGTTGATGTTGTCTTAGAGAGGGATAAATCATTGCTTACAATATTAACATGATGACCTTCCTCATCAGCTGCATTCCTATAGGATTGCAGGTAAGGATTTTGTTTGCTGCAGATTCATACAACAGCACTGATGTGAAAGATAACAGACTGATTTAGTGCCTGAACTTGCAAATGCTTACTCTTTCTCATAAAGTTGTAACGTACATGTATGCAAGTTCAGACCTTCAGCTAATGACTGTCAGTGCATTAATTTAACTCTCACATTTGTGTTGATTCTATATTACTAACAGAATTAAAAATTGGCTAAACCTCTCTTCCTCTTTATTTCATTTATTTATTTATTTTACAACAGTTAGAGGCATGACCAATAGTTTGGGAACAAATGTGTCAACAGTGATGTGATCTGTTGCCAAAACCACCTGTCCAGAAGCACACAGTCATTTCGATCGCAGAGTGTGTAGCTGATGTATGGCAACGTGCCTGAATATGAGGACCAAAACAGAAATATTGATTCTGAAAGACTGGAATGAATTTTCACTATCTACAATGGGAAACAGAGGAAATAAACAACAGCAAAAATACATTTGAATGTGATTTTCATTTATGCAAACTTTTTTTTTTTTTTTTTTTTAAAGTTACTTTGGTAAGTATCTTTAAGCCAGTGCTTTGAGAAGTTTGTACTTGGGACATTTCTCTGTCCATGGGAATATAGACTTGGTTCTCCAGCCAATGTTCCAACAGATGTTCCATCATTTATATGGCTACCTACAACTGCACAAAGTGCTGTCCTACCAGATATCCTCACTCTTGTACATCTACAGCAAATTGGATTTGATAGCCTTTTGGTGTTATTTCCTCACAAAGGCGAATAACCATATGAAGTGCAAAGCAGTGGAGAATAAAGTTGTAAGCAGTTGCTATAAGAGGGCTATTCTTCGGAATAAAGTACTGCTAATAATCTCATTTGTCAACCTACCCTTTGGCTGTGGTTCTACATGATGTCAGTTTGAGCAGCACACAAAGATGTCTAAAGGGATGCAACATCGTTGGTGAGGCAAGCACTGTCTGAACATCTTCCAGTGATAGTTCCTGTATCTCTTCTTCTAGAAGACTTCACTACTACAGTTAAGACAAGTAGACAGGGGAAAACTTGATAGCTCACTTCAATATGAGACATGAGGGAAGAACAGGAGAAAAAAAACTGAATGCCTTTTATCCCAAGAAACAAAATATGATAAAATGCACTTTCTCTTGAAAATGCCAGATAGAACCACAAAAAAACTGCTGGTTTAAACCACAGATGCTTCAAGCAACATCTGGAAGTTAAACAACTGGAAATTATGGCCTTTTGATATGGTGAAGGCCGTTCACAACTGATTCACGAGGGCTGCTCTAATAGTAATACCACTTATTCTATTATGTTGGCCACAATGTCAGAGGTGGTATGGCAGTAGTGGCTGAACCTTCCCACCAATATTCTGTTACATTTTGTTGCCGTGTGACAGATGGGAGCAGAGGGGCAGTCTTAAAGAATGGCATCTGACATGCAAGTGTGTATGAGGCAACGGTGTGTCACTGAATTCCTTCACGTGGAAAAAATGGCACCAACTGACATTCATGGACACTTGCTGAATGTTTCTGGAGACCAAACAGTGTATGTCAGCACAATGACGCAGTGGGTGGTGCATTTCTGCAGTGGTGACAGTGACATGAAAGACAAGCCATGTTCCAGATGGCTATCCACAGCTGTCACACCATGAAATGAAGAGTGTCCCTATCAACTCATCTGCATAAATCAGCTGACGGTGGTAACTGTGTTGAAAAGTAGTGTTATGTAGCTGAGAATTTTCTCTATGAAATAGTGCTATTGTGCTCTTTGTAGTTTTCGTCACTTTACATGGAAAAAAAAATAGCAGGCGATACTTTCAGAGCAGCCTACATACATTCGGGCTCAGAATTTAAACATTTGACTTCCTATGGTTTGAATTTTTTTTCAGTGGAAGATAGAGCAAGGGAAACTACCTGAATTGAAATAAATCCAAAACAGAATTGTAAACAAAAGCTAAAAACTACCCATAATGAAATCAACAGAAATGTGGTTATCCTTAATCTCCTGATGCATACACTCCCATTTCCCAAAGTACAGAACTGTACTTCAAGGAGGAAACGCTGAAATGCCACTGGACTAGCTGATTATTTCTTGATGAATTCTCTAGTTTTAGAGGATCTCAAAAAGCAGCTGAGCTTTAGCTCCATTGAAATGTTTGTCTTGCTAGCTAAACATTCCATGAAAAAGACCATTTACTGTACTTTTTGCATAACTCGCTAAGAACATCAGCACTCATAGATCTGACAAAATGACAACAAGGAAGGACTGTTTGGAGTAAAAGCACACAATGCGCCAATTTAGAGCTGGTGAAAGGTGTCAGATGAACCTTCTGGTGCAACACAGCAGCCTCAGTCCTTGAGATTACCAGTTGTGATGGTTGTTGCTGGACTGAAGACTGAGTTACTCTCCAAGTAAGTGGCTACTGAGCAGTTGGCTGGCTGGGAATGATGTTTAGGCACTACTGACTTGCAGGGGATTGGAGCCAGCCTTGTAGAAGCAGAAAATACTCTGTGAGTGCCAACCCCCACAATCATTTAGTCCTTTGGAGTTTGTTTGTTTGTTTTTTCCATGTTAGCCCAAAGCAGTGTGGCTATAATACATTTTGAAACAGGAAGAAGTCTGATTCCATGCTACTCAAAAAGTGGTGTGGTTTCAGTTTTCTATTTTTTTAATAGCAAAGCTTTGACCATTTTTTATTAAATGTGCTCTGCCTGCCTTGTCCCTACCACAAGCTAATATGCTCTATAATGCTTTTCTGGCTTAGTACAGATCTTTTTAGCTGCTGATTTTGGTAAGCATCTTATTAATAGCCTGCTTGACGTGCGTGGTGGAGCTTCGTCTCCGAGTCTTGCCCTGGACCATCTTTCGACGCCGTACCTCACGACAGAGCTCATAGAAGGCCTCCATAATGTTTCCCTCTCCTGTGCAAGCAGAGCACTCGTAAAAAGCACATGCTAGTTCTGTGGCCAGCTTTTCACCTTCCTCTGTGCTGACCTGCCTGGAATGATCCAAGTCTGCTTTGTTCCCCACCAGGATCAGAGTGACATTTTTGGGTTTTTTAACTTCATCCAACAAGTTCTTGAGTGGTAGAACTTCCTCAAAGCTGCCTCTGTCCGTGATGTCATAGACCAGGACGAAGCCTTCACCCCATCGCACGTGTCCTTCTTTCTGAATAGCATCCTCCTGTTTCAAAAAGACAGATACCAGCTTTAGGAACATGATTTTTGAAAAAGACACAAGGCCTTCATTCAGACAGAGACTGCTTCCCCAGTGCCTGGAAAGCCACATACATCTGCCTGATTCTGTACGCTACACACATTGTTCTCTTTATTGTGTGGCATAGGACAATGTGGTGGTTAAACTGCACCACAACTGCTCTTCTCCAGTCCTCAATGGGATATGTGGAGAAAATGTGATGAAAAAGGGCTTAAGGACTGAGATAAGGACAAGGAGATTGCTCACTTATTTCTATCATGGACAGAAAAGATTCAGTATAGGGAGATTAATATAACTTACTGCCTATTACTAACAGACTAAAGCAGTGAGAATTCACAGCAAATTAAAACCACCATCCCCCTATCCACCCTCTTCTACCTCCTCCCCATGTGCAACAGCAGGGAATGGGGGCTGTAGTGAGTCCATCTCTGCCTTTCCTTCACAGTTGCTCTCTGCCCATGCTCCATGTGGGGTCCCTTCCATGGGATGCTATCCTTCCTGAACAGATCCTGCCTGGGTTTCCCATAGACTGCAACTCACTAAGCTCTGCTCCAACACAGCTCTGTAACCATGGGGCCCATTCTTTAGCAGCACACTGCTCAATCACAGGGCCCCACAGGTGGCGTCTCCACAGACCTCCTGCTCCACCATGCTCTCCATGCGCTGCAGTGAACTTCTGCTACATGCTTGGAGCACCTCCTGCCCTCCTTCTGCACTTGTGGCTGCAGGGCTGCTTCTCTCTCATTTCTCACTCTCTTTCCCAGTTGCTGTATTTTAGTGTTTTAACCCTTAAATCTCTTCCAAAGCACACTCAGTGTTGCTTATAGCTTAGCTCTGGCAACAGAGGGTCCCTCTTGGACCAGCTGGGGCTGGCTCTGACATGATCAGGGGGCCCTGCTCACAGAGGCTATTCCTGCAGCCCCCCTTCTAACAAAACCTTGTCAAGTAAGCCCAACATAGAGACCTACTCTGACAAGCCATCACGGGCTGCCTATCATGGGCAGACTGGTAGCAGGCAACCAGAACAGGGTCTCTGCTGAACGATACCCAGCACACAAAATGCATAGGAATGTGTAGCTTGAATGCCTGTCATGTTTTGAAAAAAAGGGGTTCCTTGCTATGACAAAACTGTTCTACAGTTTGTTGAGAATCATTGGTAGAAGCTATTGAGCTTCATCATTTGACTGAAGAAACAGACTATGGCTTTCTGAATAGTAATAACACATTATATGGTTGGCCCTGAGTCAAGGAATGAAGCAGAAATAATTTTAATCCCAGTGTAAACCCAGACTTTGTTCTTCTAGTGTTTGAAAACTGTAAGCAGGGTCCCTTGCAGAACAGTCTGGAATATAGAACACTTGGTCTGGCAGCAGGCTTGTGATGGGGAGAGGAGGGAGAGCTGTGTTCAGAAGCAAATCTCAGTCCCTGGGAGTGGAGCACGTGTGCCACCCACCACACTGCCACCACCGCAGTCCCTTCCCTACTGCCTGTCTGAGCCAAGGCACTGGATGTTGGTACACGCACTCACGCACCTGACCAGCTGTATCTAGTATCTCCATGGAAACCACTTCATCATCAATGGTAGCTTGGTGACGATATGTAGACTCTAAAATAAGAACACATTTTGTGAAATGTATTAAAAAAGAGTAATTTTTTTTCTATCTTCCTTACGGCTACCCCAGACATACGTGACACATGACTTTGCTAGATTTTATTTGTTGGAGGTGTTCCAGCTAGTCTGGAGCACATTCAAATCTTCCTTTCTACATCTGTGACTCCATTCTCTCCCTCCATATCTTTCTTTCTAATGTCTTATACTTATGGAAGGCTATACCTGTGAACACTACACTCTACCCCCAAGAAAAGGACTGAGTCTCCTGCAGCAAAGAGCTCTGCAAGACTGCAGGCAGTTTTTCTTGTTTGCTCAAATGAAGGCTGCCACTTCTAAAACACAAATTCTGCTACTCTGGATGTATCCGGCTCAAAAGCCTGTCACTGTGGAGCCTGAAGTCTGACAAGACCAAAACCAGCATGCTTGTAGATTAGGGATAAAACTGCTATACTCAGGCCTTACACAATGATAAAATGACAGAAGAGTTAGGTATTTTAGGAATGTCTCCTTGAAACATACTGAAATCATCACATTCCCTGCTTATAGCAAGGGCTCAAGCAGTAATTTCCCCTTATGTGATTTATAAGAATAGCCAGTGGCATTAAGCATTCACACTATCTAAAGGAAAAAAGGAACCTATTTACTGTGTCCCAGGTTCTGGAACGGCATAACAAATCAGAAACCTCATGACAAAAGAGCTTGTTTTATCTTAATGAGCTGATAAGTTAAATTTGATAGTGTCTGACTCAAAATCTGGAAACTCATCTATGCTAACATTGAGATTTATTACTGCTGCTGGCTCACAGATGTCCTATATCAAAAGGCAAACATGTATGCTGTGAAACTGTGGCCCATTACTATGAATGCTTTGTGCTGTCAGAGACACGGTGCTTTTATTTGGTGTAAATCTCCCCAGAAGGAATGCAGGATATGTTAAAGGAAGGACATTTCTTGAGTTAGAGCTTCTGAAAGGGCTCATGTTTGGTGCATGTCTTTTTTTTTGTTATATACTTGAATGTATCACCTCTTCATTGTTGAGAATGTTTCAGTGATGTCAGCACTTCAAACACTCTCTTCCCACACCAAAAACTGTCACTTCCCCACCCATACCCCCTGCCCTGTGCCACCTTAATTGCTTTATATAGCACAGCTGCCTGTAATAGGGACAAATGGTCAATTTAATTAGGCAGATGGCAAGCAATCTTGCATAGGGCTTCAGGCAATGAAGGCTCTTGTGGTTTTTTTGTGTTTTGTTTTTTTTTTCTCTTTCTTTTCAAAGCAGAAGCCCCCCACTGCTCTTCATTATTGTAAGGCTGCTAAAGGTGTTGATGTTCCACCTTTGTGATCTTGACATTATTCCTACAGAATAGAGTAAGATATATCTAAGAATCTCAGTATGACTTACCTAAGCACTTCCTGCAAGAGAATGCAGCCAAGCAAAAGCTTTGCTTTGATGCAGAAGACAGAGGGATGCTACTTTAGAAAACTAGTTAATTGGAGAAAATGCCCAGTGCTAATTTGGGACTCTGTGTGCAGTACTCCCTACTCATGGCCATGTGTCCAGTTCTGGGCCCCTAGTTCAACAGTGACAGGGAAAGAAACTGTCCAGTGGAGAGTCAGCAAGATGAGAAAAGGCCTGGAGCATCTCCCGTATGAGGAAAGGCTGAGTAACCTGGATCTGTTCAGCCTGGGCAAAAGAAGACTGAGGGGAGATCTGATTAATGTTTGTAAATATCTAAAGAGAGGTGGGATGGATGACGATGGATGGATCCATCGTCATCCATCCATTGATGGATGATCAAAATGGATGGGACCAGGCTCTTCTTGGTGGTGTGTACCAATAGGACAAAGAGCAATGACCTAAAACTTGAACACAGGAAATTCCATATAAACATGTGAAAGAATTTTCTTATGGTAAGGTGGATACAGCACTGGAAGAGGCTGCCCAGAGAGGTTGTGGAGTCTCCTTTGATGGAGATATTCAAGACCTGTCTGAACACCTACCTGCGCAACCTATTGTAAAGGGACCTGCTTTGGCAGGGGGGTTGGACTCAGTGATCTCTTGAGGTCCCTTCCAACCTCTGCAATTCTGTAATTCTGCAATTTAGCATCTTAGATTTCATTTCCTGGGTAGAGAGTGGTATGAAAAGATTTTTCAAGGAAGTAATGCGATATTAGCTCTTCACTCATTTAGGTCTTGCAGCCTAAATGCCTTCAATCAGCTGGCCCTGCTTGACCAATTGCTGTTAAGAATTGGTCCATACAAGTCCCCAAAAAATATATCTACCCATGTTTCCAGCAAATCTGTGAAATGATCTTCTTAGGAAGCAGAATGTGGTAGCTCATACGGATCTTCTGCACGAAACTGCAGAATGAATCTCAAGGAGCAGACTTCTGCCTGCTTCAGAAAAGAAGTGTGATTCTTAAGAGAGATTTTAATTCTTGAAACAGTACTTTGCCAGTGTTTCATGTTGCACATTTAACTCCCTTTATCTGTCTTCTTTAGGGTGGAATTTAATTCTGGCTCAGTAGCATTGATTGGGGTCAGATTAGTGTAAATACAACTTAGTAGAAGTGAGTCTGTTCCCCTGCTTTGGAATGTGCGGTAGCTGGGTGCTTTTTAGTGAGGAGTGTAAAACAGCTGGATCTTTAAAGCATTTTTGGTGTAATAGCAGACATGGCTTTTCCTTCAAGGGAACAGAAACATCTGAAGAATCTGGTCAGATGTTATGAGCCCTGAAGTTGTGATTTCCAATCTGTTCACACTGAGCACCCTAAAGCCTTAAGATCCCATGATGCTTTACAAATAAGTGGCCTTGCTTTGGGTTTTATTGATGTTATTTTCTCTGTGCTACCCTTTATTTTGAGACACACAGTTCAAGAGAAAGATGACTTGAGATTCTCTAACTGAAATCATCTGCAATACAAGCATCTGTGTCTCACCTAAGTACTGTGACCCCTGTTGGAGTGGATGAAGTAAAATACATGCTGGATGTAGGTTGTCTGATCTCTTTCCTGGGATGAATCATACCTCAGAAGCACTTACAAGTCTAAAATTGGTCAGACGAATCCAGGCTGTAAATATCTTATCCTTGCATTATCGTGTTCAAGTAGGAAGAGTAAAGCGTATAGCATTGTGCCAGCAGTCTTCGTGATAAAGGCTCCCAAGACGATACCAGGCAATTTTCTGAGCTCCAAAATATCATTTACACCAGGTGATGCCTATATTTTATATTTATAGTTATATGGCTGATATCCCACTGATAGAGAATAAACCTCAGAGCCAATTTCATTCTGTGTTTAGAGCATGATATGTGTGTAGACTCTGTGTCAGAACTGCTAATCTCAAAGCAGAAGCAGACAGCTGATGCTGATGGAGTAATGGAATACTAGACAACAGCACTATGGAAATGACAGTAGTCATATTCAGTTCTGCTTTGTTATAAGCAAGCCTGACCTGTTCTTGCTAGTTTGGGGGTGTCCTATGTTTCTGTTCATATTCCCAATAACTAGATTAAAGAGCTTGCTATTGTGTGGCTCTGAAAGCTGATGTCAACTTACAAGGTCCTCTTTTGCTTACAAAACTGCAATCTCCCAGTGCTTTTGCTGTACAAAGAACTGGTTCTCATAGTTACTTTGTTTAAAAATTAAAGCTCATTCCAGGAATTATGTAGGTCTGTTGAAAGGCTTGAGAAACATGACTGTTGCAACTGGCTTGTTTTTCAATACGTAATATATTGCCTCATTAATTCATTAATAGGGATCATTTTTTTAAAATTCTGCAGCTGTGGAAATAGCTTTGGAAACCTGATCTAGCTGCAGGTGTCCCTGTTGGTGTGTCACAAATCTTACTCTTCTCAGCAATCTTATTGTGCAAATGCAGAAAATACTAAAATTGCACAGACAGGCTCTAAGCCTATACTATGCAGACTGTCTGAGGATTCAGTCACAGCTTGATCACAACCCTGTGTGATGCTTATTGTGACATTCAATTGCATTTAGGCCTTTAAGTACTAAGTAGTCATTTATCAAACATGCTTGTCCAGTGCAACCTAGATCTATAGAATACATTTGTTCCAAAAGATTATGTTTTCTACAGGAAAAAATCTAAGAAATAATTGCTAAGTCTTAGTCTGTAAGTCTAAGTCTAAGGTATGCATCCCAGAGCTCTGAGAGAACTAGCTGATGTAGCTGCCAAGCCACCCTCAGTGATATTTGGAAAGCCATGGTGGTCAAGTGAAGTCCCTGGCAACTGGAGAAAAGGCAACATCATACCCATTTTTAAGAAGGGTAAGAAGGACAGTCCAGGAAACTGCTGACCTGTCAGCCTCACCTCTGTGCTGGGTCAGATGCTCCTGGAAGCTATGCTAAGGCATACAGAAGAGGTGATATAGGATAACTAGCACAGCTTCACTAAGTGCAGCTCCTGCCTGACAAACCTTGTGGCATCCTATGATAATGTAACTGTGTCAATGGACAAGGGAAGAGCTATTGATGTCATCTGTCTGGACTTCAGTAAGGCCTTTGACATGGCCTCCATAATGCTCTTGTCTCCAAATTGGAATAATATGGATTTGATAAGTGGAATGTTCAAAGGATGAGGAACTGTTTGCATGATTGTATCCAGAGAATGGTGGTCAATGGCTCAGTGTCCAGATGGAGATCAGTGATGGGTGGTGTCCCTCAGATTTCAATACTGGGACAAATGCTTTCATCAGTGACACTAACAGTGGGATTGAGTGCAACCTCTGCAAGTTTGCAAATGATATCAAGCTGTGTGGTGCGGCCAGTACACCCGAAGGATGGGATGACATTCAGAGAAACCTGGATAGGCTTGAGTAGTGTGGGCCCAGGTGAGCGTTGTGAGAATCAACAAATCCAACTGCAAGATTTGGCATCAAATGAAGTTAGGTGACTAAAGGATAGAGCACAGCTCTTCTGTATAGGACTAAGAGGTACTGGCAGACGGCAAGCTGTACATGAGCAAGCAATGT